CAGTAATTCTTGTACCTTAGCACTTGAGCTACAAGAATATGTAATTTTAATAAGAATTCGTTGGAAAAATGTAGAGTAAAACACCACACATAACGAATTACTTTGTTTTTAAAAATTTTTAAAAATGCATTTTTAGGCATTTTAGGCCGTTTAGTATTTCGATCATAACTTTTCTATCTTTATTGGAAGTACCCAACTTTTTTTTACGAAAATGATCAGCAAAAAAAGCTCTATATAATCTGAGGAAAAAGAAAATTTTTTAAATACTTTGTGTTTTTTTGGTTGACTTCCCATGGAATAGGTCAACTCAAATTTCACAATTTAAAACACAACGAATAAAATATAATTCAGAATATGTCATACAGTCGGTAGTAATCATATTATTTTTCTAGTAATATCAATTTATTAAATGAGACAAACTAATCCTCAAAACTTATTATATGATTGTCATCATTTAATACCTTGACTGTATCTAAGTGAGTCACTACTAGAAAAAAAAGTAATTTGCATTCCTTATCTGATTGGCCAATCCTTTTCTCCATTCATGAATTTCTTGTATCTGTATGCGTCATGGTTTCCATGTTTTACCTTAAATCATTGGATTCCCTTAAATGGTGCCTACATATATTACCTTCTATGGATGTTATGATAAAAGTCGTTCTCATGACTCATAAAACCAATAGGATTTTGTCAGGTCCTATTTAAGCCGTTGTTATTGTGTGAAACAGATAGAAGAAAGAAAAACATGACCTTCTTATTACATGTCGAATTCGATGCAACTTCAGAGTCAACAGCCACAATGATCCTCGAATGTTTGGCTGGTATGGCTGATATTGTCCATCGTGATCATCCCAAAGTATATACATATGTATTTCGACATGCCGATGAAACCAAATCAAAACTTATTTTTACTGAAATATATGCTGATGAACAGGTATTTCTTGACCATGGGCGTGATGCCGAGTTCGGTAAACTTTTACAAAAAGGTTTCGATACTACAACAGGTAAAAGCCGAAAAGAACTTTGCATTCGAAGTGATATCAATAGTCCCTTATCACGAATAACTGCCAGTATACTCGATGATTATTTGCATGTTACTTATATTTCTATTCAACAAGGGTTTTTTCATCGAAATTTAATTGAGAAAAGAGAAGTTGATCTTTTGATTGTATGTACCGGATGTGATCAAAATGTTTATGAACAATTGAATGCACTTGTTAGTTGTGTCACATGCGTCACATTTGAAGAATCCGATGGCAATAGACAATTAATTGCTGTTATCACACATATTTCAAGTGAAAAACAATCAATGAAAGATAAGAAACCATCGATTGATGCGATCGAAATAGTTTGTTCGCATGAAGAAACTATTGGAAGATTCAAAGATATCATTGATAATTATTTTCAAGTTCAATCAATACATATTCAAAGAAGTTTTAGTGGCTATATTCGTCATAAATCTTTGGCATAGTGGTTATCTTAATACAGAAATATAAACTCTTGCTTAAATTTTTATTTGAATTTTTTCTTGCTGATTAACAACAAATAAAATGTTATTTCAAACATTATTTTCATTTGTTATGTGATGAAATCTACACCAACTGGGGCATTCCTCCCACCCAACGTTGTTCGTATCAGAAGGAGGTGTGCTGAATTGATGTCTTTGCATCCCAAAAAATCTGATCCTAATTTCATCATCTCGATAATCAGCATTCATCAGGGACTATTTTTCATCAGTTAAATTCAAACTTTTTCAGATGTCAATTTTTCGATACCTGGGGGGGGGGGGGGGGAAGGAAGAAACACCTGCAATCAGACTTTTCTGATTTTTTTCAATATAAAACCAATTGTGTTTAAACTAGAAAATCATATGCGAGTACTTTTCTTTATCTTAAACGCTTCATGATTGCTATGTACGATCCTCTATATTGAAGTCTGTAGTTAAAATGAATTGCAAAAAAAAGAACGCAGGTAAAGTCGTGCACAAGTGAGCGGCGAATGTTGTCCTGATGTAAAAATAAGTAAAGAATCATTCGTCAAACAATACATATGCGTGAGGCACGCTAAATTCAACCAAACTGAGTAGTAAAAAATGCTGAAAAAACATATGTACGGTTATTTTTATGTTTTTGTTTTCAAGGTAACTTTAAAAAAAAAGAGTTTGAAAGGCTAGAAAAAGTATTTTGAAAGCCTTGATTATATAAGATCGAAATACAGATCAATATATGAGTGCCAGTGTAGACATGCTCTTGACCCACAGCGCAATTTATTATAAAAGCTACATCTGCCATTGTATTCTATTTCACATATTTTCAGATTTGAAGGCATAAGTTTAGGAATGGTCGATATAATCAAACACCGATTGCTTAAAATTAGAGGAGATATTAATTCTTGTGTGGATAAAAGTCCAATTAGCGGCATTCTGGGATCTATCAAAATGAAAACAGGTGTCGGATCTGATCTTATCATTATGGGTACTATTGCTTTTTCAAGAGATTTATTTCATTATTCCATACATCTTTTAGCTATCTGTAGTATTCTTGCCATCTATCTTGTATTTGGTTGAAGCAATGATTTTCTCTGCAACATCATCGTACTTATCTATCCAATATATATATCGTGAGTTTATTTTGGTTACGAAGTCTTTTGTATTAATTTAATTCTAATTGATCTTTTCGATTTTTGACGTTTCCAAGGTTGATCACGTATAGGAAAACTGCTTGGAATGTCTCAAGTTTTATTTTTTACTGCAAAAAAAAATTCATTTTCGTTTGAGATATTTTCCTTTGCACCATCATGATTGATATCTTTAGAGGACGAGTGTCTACTTCGAGATTTTCTTTCACAGAGAACAAAAGAAGCAAATAATATCTCATCCATACTCACACCTACACTTTGCAATGAAATCGAAATCTTTTGAATATTTCATAAGGAACCTAATAATTTCTTTACAAAAAGTTTCTTAGAATCTTGATGATCAGTTTCAAGAATATCTGTGTTCATTGGAAATCTGAAAAGATGCCTCCGCGTAAGTAATGAACGACAAAATCTATATACGGCAAGCAAATATTTATCACTTTTGGTGAAATAGAGACGATCAGAAAATAAGAGCAAAAATATTCATAGACTGCTTTCTTATTGAGTTAATGCAGCTTAAATTCATAAATATTGTGTTTCTTGTAATCTGTCATGATTGATAAGCACTTAGTTCTTATGAAATTGTCTATCATAGGAATGCAACTTTCGTATTATTGCAGATTTATAGCTCTAAAATCACCAGAAGCATTTGACCAAAGACAACTATTGACATTTTGGATGACTTATTCGGTTCTTGGCTGTATAGAATATTTCATGCATGGATTGTTCGATTTCTTAACATTTTATTGGCTTGCAAAATGCATTTTTCTTCTTGCATACTGGAAGTGCTGCTCGCAACATTTAAAAGAATCAGGTAAGAATAAAGACCTTGATGAAAACTAGACCATCGATACATCATCGGACGAAGTTGACACGTCTAAGTGATGTAGTAACAATTCAAGGAGACAAAACTTTTCGAAAACACGTTTAAACGCACAAGAAAAGGAATGAAATGCGAAAAAAATTGGCCAGTTAGAATTACAATCACGGTTCCCGAATGCGAGCAAAAACCGCCCATTTTCTGACCCCTGTATGCCTTTCAACGTGTTTCAGAGGATTTTTATCTGATGAGGTATCAAGGATGTGGTATTAAGAAGTATGGAAGTAGCAGCTGTGCACGTAACACATGTAGAGAGCTTTCATTTTTTTTTTCTAGAGGAAGTCTAAGTTTTACTAAAAAAGGGCCAGATAATGAAGAAAGCTAGCCAAACACGCCAAAAACCTTTACGAATTGAATTTGTAACACAACTGATGAGAGACTCAATAGAGGCTTAGAAGTGAATCCGATGATAACTTGACATAAGTGACTTCGACAGAGGCCAGACCCGTAAGATATACAAGGGAGAATCAGCTAAAATCAGATTCTTTTGCTTTCTCTGAGTTTTCTGATTTTTTTACTTGAAATTGATGTTTTCAACAACAGAGATTAAAACTTAATTACTTTGATCGAGTCTTTGACTTTTTTCAGATTTAAAATGAAAAAAAATGAGCTACTTCTTCCGTCAAGATATGCGATAAATGCATTATCTGATATAAGTTTTTGAGAAAACCTTCTCTGATGCGAATTTTGAAAGCGTTCATGACGAACTTTGTCGACTATTCAAAACTGTTAAAAGTTGGTTACGAAAACTTTGGCTTTTGCTCAACCCCGTATGAATTTCGAGTAACCCCACGGAAACTTGCACAGTAAAGAAAAACTCCACCACAACTCAGTGATTTTGTTCGGTAACTTTCTTCAGTAATCTCAATGGATATTATGAAACGAACAAATCTCTGGTAGAAATGGATATACTTATAAAGAGCAACACTTTTTTCGATGTTGTTTTTAATTTTCTATGATGCACAAAAAAGAAACACATCGTCTCATTAAAGCTCAAGTAAAGATAAAGTAAATGGATAATTGTATAACATAATAAAATAGTAC